CACCTGCACCTACACCTGTCATTCTGCATCTGTTTCTACTTCCTGTCCTCTCAAACCCAGCCAGTCGAAGCAGATAGTCGCTCGTCCTGAGTCTGGTTCTGCTGTTAAAGGGAGTTTTTTCTTTCCACTGTCTCCTTTGTGCTTGCTCAGGATGAGAGACTGTGACAAAGTGAAGATTCCACAAGTCTGCTGGATTCCTTCCTTAGAGAACTTTTATTAATTGGCTTTTGCATGTGCGTGCATGTGAATATTTTTGTTCAGTGCTCTGAGACATCTTCTGTTGTGATTTGCTGCTATTTAAATAAACTGAATTGAATTTCCATTTGGTGGTCCGGTATCTTCAGTTCAGTCTTGTGTGGTTAGATGTTGCATCACTGGCGGTTTTGTATAAAACGTTCATTTTTTCATGAAAGTAAAAAGGGTTGAATCATGAAACCCCCTGAAAGAGCGTTAACAAACATGCGAGCAGAAATCTGACACGGAGCTGAACTTACCTCCAGAGTTACATTGAGCCTGTCTTTGTGTCCGTCTCGTCTCCCTTTCTTCTTCTCTTTCCACACCAACAAAGTCAAGCAGTCTAAGACGACAGACAAACCTTCAGACCGACAGACTCGTACGTGAACGTGCTGTTAAATATCAGACTGATGGAGGCGTCACGTTTTGTTATCCGTGCTCGGTGCCCGTCTGTCTGCAACGGCACCTGATCCGTCAAAACAAACCCCCCAAAATCAGTCGGCTGATCCCCGACACAGTTGGGAATAAAGTTACAAGTACACACAGATTACAGTACAGTGCACACCCACGGCTGTGAGGAGCTTCGACTAGAACTACAACTCTTACCGGTTTCTTCAAGGACGTGATTTGTGGGTCACGTCTTTAGTGTAAGACACGGGCTCTGTCCTCATGACCTCAGCTTTTAGAGCCAGACTAAAGGAGGGAATCGTTTTTGATTTTTGTCAGGAAGGAACGCAAATCATCCATCCATCCATCCATTACATTTATCCTCTTCTTCTTTTTCAGGTCATGGGAGTCAATGGTAGCCATATCCAGAAGTCACTGTGCGAGAGGCGAGGGACACCTGGACAGGTCTCCAGTCCATCACAGGGACACAGAGACAACGAGACAAACAACTATTCTCTCTCTCTCTCTCATCTAGAGACAATTCAGAGTTACCAGTCAGTCTAACGTGCATGTTTTTGGTCTGTGGGAGGAAACCGGAGTACCCGGAGAAAACCCACGCAGCACGTAGAGAACATGGGAACTCCACCCAGAAAGGCCCCCGGCCGGGACTTGGACCAGGACGACCTGCTCGCTGAGAGGAGGCAGCTCTACCAACTGCTCCACCGTGCTCCCCGGAGTTCACATCATCCAAGAGAATTCAGTGGAGGAATGTGTTTCTGCAACTCTCAGCTTTTCTTCTTCTTCTTCTTTCGGCTGCTCCTCCTTCAGGGGTCGCCACAGCAAACTAAGTCACACGAGAACTTGGTGATTATTTTTACGCCAGATGTCCTTCCTGATGCAACCACAGACCACCGAGCTACCACAGCCCGAGCAGAGAGCTGCCAGCTAGGGCGCCCAGGGGAGCAGATGGTGGGGGTTAAAGCCTTGCTCAAGGGCCCAGAGTGGGGCAAGTGAGGGTAGAAGGTGGTGTGGGTGTTTCTCCTTTTCCACCCACATTTTGACAATGTCGGTACCGGGAGTTGAGTCAACGATCTTCAGACCCACCTTCTCTAACCTCTGTGCCACCACTCGCTCGCTACACCTTTAGCTTGACACCTGTCAAACTGGCTTAACTGGAACCATTTTGTGTTTGCTGAAGTTTGCTGCTGCGGCCATCTTGAACGGGAATGACTCTAAAAGGTAAATTAGTTGAAGAAGTACATCGATGATCACCTTCTGCCAGCGTCATAAAGCACTTTAAACACCCTCGGGACCAAAGTGCAGTTACAAACCAAACTCAGGAGCAGCTGGTCCGCTGAACTGGGAGGACGGGGTGCATGTGTAGGGGTGCGGAGGCACGGTGGGATAAGGCAAGACCGCGGAAAGCTTTAAAACAAATCCCAAAATGAACATTGAAGACAGCAGATTGAAAGCAGCCGTCTAAATCTACAGACAAGCCAACACACAGAGACAAAAACATTATCGCCCGCCGCCTTCAGGTGATCACCAGCTGGCCCAGAGAGCAGCTCATTCTGAAGAAGCTGAATTTGTACAAGACTTCTGTTTTGTCTGCACCGTTTAAAACGGATTCCTGTCCATTTATAAAAACCGTCCAGATCAATTCCACACGCGCTGCTGTGGATCCGCTGCGTCGTGGCGCGCAGCCAGGACCAACGAGAAACTTGGGATTAGCTTAATCTCAGCAATCTGAACATTTTACCGCTCCATCCAAACCTCATTTGTAAAAGACAAAAACTGTGGGGACATACCGGCGACGGGAGAAGGCTTCTGAAGAACAACCCAGCGGGTCTTCCACTGTGGAGGAACGTAAAACAACAAATCAAACTTTTCCCCCGATGAGCCTGGAAAGATTAAAAACGTGTTTTAAACCACAAAATTAAGAAAAACCGTTAAAATTCACCTTTTTTCCATCTCTAAACTTGACTTGGCCCTCTGCGACAACTGTATCCGTCATCTTCTGTCATGACTCTGAGCAGCTGTGTGTGTGTAATGGGGGGGGGGGGGGGGGGGCACATTTCAAAATAGCCTCTACAGCCCAGACCCAGATGGCAGACATTTCTCTGCCTCCGTCTGGTGGGGGACACCGGCCTCCTGCCCAGTCAGTCCAGTTGTCGGGAGCTTATTGTTTGCAGTGGAGCTCATTTGATTAAAAACACATAACTCTCGTTCTTTTCAATTAACTCCTGAATTATTTTACTTAGCTGGGCGTTAGACAGGGATTAACGTTTCCTTCCAACTGATCCGTGGAGCCTGTCGGTGTAAATAAAGTCTAATTTGTCAGAGCTGGCAGGACCGAAAACAAGTTTATAAAACGGATCAAATCAGCAACAAGAAGTAGAAAAACCCGCGCACGATAACAACAGCTGAGCTGGATGAGTTTGTGCCGTTTAATCTTCCCGTCGCTGCCTTCAAGGCTTCAACTGAATAACTGGAGGGATAAACTGTCCTGAAAACAACATTAAGAATATTTATATATTCAGGCTTACGTTTTTTAACAAGTTTTTAAAAAATGCAGTTTATTTTTAGCGTATGACGGAAACTTGAGATGCCAAAGCTCAACGTTGAAAACAGCTGCGTCGTTAGTCTGGAGCAGGCCCGACAGGGATTATCCAGCTACGATGGACACGGCTCGGCCTGCGCTGAACTGAATCTTCCCCAATTTAAAAAAGAATCTTTTCAGGACTGAAATAAATAAAATGTTCAGATGCTTTTTAAAAGTAGGGTTTACTTAAAATAGACCCAAAGAACTTAATATTGTTGAGCAAAGGACAAAAAAACTGAGCCTTAAAATACAGCTTGAAGCAAAACATGAGGAAATCAGCAACAAAACACTTTATGACAAAATTATAGTTAAGCCTCTGATTTTGCATCTTATATAAACTGTAGGTTAATCTGACTTGACATCCTTTCACCAGCTGGCCCAGTACACAAATCACAAGTTCTTACACGCACGCGCCAGCGGTGAGCCCGGCCGCCTCCACGTCCAAACATATTAAAGTGTGTGTGACGATCAGGGACTGGGAGAACTGTGCATGAAGGATCAGAAAGAGAACGTGCTGCGTGAACAGCTGTTGAGATATGTGCACGAGCACAGGAAGTGAAACTTGGAACAGCCACGTGAGCAGCGCACGCTACAACGGCTAACGCAAACATCGAATAATCTGATGTTTCTCTGGATTATGTTGAGTCACGATCAGAGGGAGATGAAGAGTCAGAGTTCCCATTTGTTGCCACTTCCTGTTTCACTTTCACCACGCCGTTAAAATATAAAGCCAGTTATATGATAACGTGTAAAATCATGTGTATTATGCTAAATTTCCTAAACATTAAATGTTTTTTTTTCTACTTTGTGTATTTATTTATTTCTCACAACACTTAACACCTTATCTTTACACCAGTAACTCTTAAAAATCACAAAAGCCAACGTTGTGGTCAAAACCATGGACATATTGTACGTAGACGCCTCGGTGAGCGGGCTGGTCGTTGGAGCGTCCACCATTTTGGATGTGGCAGATCTGACGGTCAACTGATAAGAAAATGGACCGAACTTCATTCATCACTGTTCAACAGAGCGTTTTAAGTTGACGCCTGTCATTCACATTTGAAAACCAACAGGCACCAAAGACGACATTTATAACTTTTAACGTGATTATTAAAAATCTTTACGCCTTAAACATTTAGTAAGCTCTAAACCAACAGATTACTCTTTTGAGTGTTTACAACTACCGTATTTTCCGGCGGACACGTTCCTACGCCCTATAAGTCGCATCGGTTCATATATGTCTGATAAAGTGGAAAAATCCATAAATACATCGCATTTATTACGCGTCACCGCTGACAACATGGAAATGTGGGCCGGTGTGCCAAAAATCGATGGGCTGCCAAATGACACATACACATATATATATATATATATATATATATTATATAAATATATATATATATATAACAAACATGCACACACACAGGGGAGCATACATATGTCAATACAGCTATACAAATACAGTCTGTGTGTGCGTGCATGTGTGAAAGGTAAAAACCTTGGAAAAGAAAAGTCTTGCACGGTTTTTTCAGTGTGTTGCCGCTCTGCAACTTAAGATCGTTCAGTTTGATCATGTGGTGCAGCATCAGTTTGTGGAAGACAAACACAACTATTGACATCAGCAGAAAATGGTGGTTGTTAATTGCAAACTATTTCTTGAATGTGCCCCCCCACACACACACACCATGAAATACATTTAACTGATTAAATGTATTTTAAGCAGCACATGAATGAGGCTCTCTCCACTTGACACATCCAATATGGCGGCGGTGTTGACGTATGATTCAGCGCTCAATGAGGCATCTATGCGTATATGTCTGTGGTTAAAACTCCCATCAAATCATAGTTAAAAAAACAAACAGGAGTGTCAACATGTGCTGTTACAGACTGGATATTCTTCTTCTCTTGTTAAAATTGCGTTTGCAGTGGCAATCAGGACACCGCCACAAACTGGACTGGATGGTCATTGCTTAAAAACAAAACAAACAAAAAAATGAATTTTCTAAATTAACATCGTTTCTTTTAAGTATTCGCATGACGAACTTTAGCGGCCAAGCTGACTCATTTTTTTAATCTCCAACTGACCTCTGACCCCGCCTCGCTGGCTCATGTGCGTGACTCCCTTAGCATTAGCCTCCCCTCGTTTTGCTTAAGCTTCTTAAAACATTCAAAATATTGACAACATCATTCAAAGTATATTATAAAAATAGTAATACACATATGTAAACAACCTTTAATACTGAAATAATCCGTATGAAAGAAGTGAACGTAATTACCTTGACGTCAGCTAGCAAACGATTAAACCATTTTTAAGCCTCCCACTCACCTTGTTGCCAAACAATGACGCTGCGGACAGACGTAAGATAATTCCAACATTTTATGTCATAATGTCATTTTGAAATATGCAAATGAAATAAGAGAATGTTAAGTCACCGTCTTCAGAAACAGGAAGGAGCATTAATTGTTGCAGCTAGCTTTAGTTAGCTTCACTCTTGGTACCTATTATGACACGAGATGCTAATTTAAAACCCCTTTCCTTGTAAATTAAATAAATAATCTTTTTGGTGCAAAAATGCATAAAGCAGTATTAAACCTGTAAACCATTCACAAACTAATAATTTAGCTCATTTAATTCAAATGAGCAACAAACTAACCACGGTAATAGCCAAGTGACAAACGTGACATGCTAACAGCCTTTTTTAATATTTCAAATATAAATCTGCATCGAGCATTCCTGACCAGACAAAATGATGAACGTGACATTTGTTTTTAGAGGCACGCTGAATAAAATCTCTGAATTATTCACCTTATTTCTGATTACCACGTGCATTGTATTTTTCTCAAACCCAGTAGAAGAGTTCATGTTTTGTACCTTCTAGTCAAGACGGTTATTACTCAACTGTCCTGAAACAAAATGTAAGTAAAATTTGTGAACAGTTTTACGCTTTTACATTCCGCCATGTTTGTTTACACCAGGGATGCCCAGATTTTTCTTAGCATGCAAGCTACTTTTAAAATGACCAAGTCAAAGGGATCTATCTGCTATAAAACCCCGTTTACACAAAACAACCTCTGCAAACATTAGTGTTTCTCAATGTTTACTGGGGTAATAAATAAAAAGTGAGCGGGTTTACATGAAAACGCTGTAGTTTCCATGTCAGCCAGGTTGCCAGATAAGACATTATGAACTATAGTACTGTGGCTTTAAATTTATAGTATTTTGATCTAAACTGTCAAATGTGCTGAGTAAAGATATTCTAAGATGAGGTGTGTGTTGCGTTTGTTGGACATGTTCACAGAAAAGAAGCGGTAAATAAGACATTTCAAATTTATCTGGCAACCCTGAAGCAGAGCTCAGCTGCATCCATCGTGCATGAAGCATCTGCAAGACAGGTAGTCCAAACTGGTGAACGCACCAACGTCTCTTTGGAGCCTGGATTTTATTAGTTTTGCTCCTACATGATGAAAAATGGTGAGCAGCGCAAAAACACTCTGCTCTCTGACATTTATTATAACTGTTATATTTATTATAACTGTTATATTTATTATAACTGTTGTTATTTATTATAACTATTGTTATTTATTATAACTGTTGTTATATTTATTATAACTGTTATATTTAATATACAGTACCTTGCGAAAGTATTCGGACCCCTTGAACTTTTCAACTTTTTGCCACATTTCAGGCTTCAAACATAAAAGATATAAATTTTAATTTTTTGTGAAGAATCAACAACAAGTGGGACACAATCGTGAAGTGGAATGAAATTTATTGGATGTGTCAAACTTTTTTAACAAATAAAAAACTGAAAAGTGGGGCGTGCAATATTATTGGGCCCCCTTGCGTTAATACTTTGTAGCTCCGCCTCTTGCTGCAGTTCCAGCTGCAAGTCTCTTGGGGTTTGTCTCCATCAGTTTTGAACATGGAGACACTGAAGTTCTGCCCATTCTTCCTGCAGAACAGCTGGAGCTCAGTGAGGTTGGATGGAGAGCGTTTGTGAACAGC